CCTGGCTATTATAATGAATTTTCAAAACACCTCGGGAGTGTCCGGAGACCCAATAGCTAACTCTCGTCGACTCGCTGGTGTAGGCACAGCATTGAGTTGCAGAGCATGAAGTGCGCATCCCGACCGGATACCAGTAAACAACCGTCTTTGAGCTGCTCAAGTAAATCAATCTTCAAATACAAGGGAGGATTGCAAGATCAACTGATAGCTATTGGTAATCTCCGCCTACGCATCCACAGACGGTAGCTGGGATGATGCAGAAGATGAATTCTATGAAGAACTATCAAATAAGCTACAGAAAAAACACCTTCAGATGTAATCATAATGCCAGGCGACATTCACGCTTACGTAGGCAAGTTGAGCCAATCAGAAACGTATTTGGGAGGTATTCATGGAATACCGTGACAACGATGATCGTCCACCACAATCTTGTTACAAAATTTACTTTCTTCTGTCAAGCATTAAACTTAAGCATAAGGATACAATGTCTCACATGGCGTCCACTGACTTCAAACGAGCAACAGACACATACAGACCACACAGCTATAACCCATCGATATAGAGGATAGGAGGAGGACTACCGCTTTTTCTGAAGTACTAGTCTGGACTCCGATGACGCGCTGGTACAGACCTGTACATGTTTGCACCTTACTCGTCACAGAAAACAGGTGGCAAAGCCTTTCTATGCTCGATTGTAAGATGAGATTATGAAGTCCGAAATTAGGGAAGAGATAGCTGAGCATTTATCTGAACATAACCAGGAATCCTCATCTTGAGGAAACCTGACGTAATCTAATATCTGCTGTAGAAATTGCATTAAGGACAATTAGTAACCAACATACACATGAAGGTTATCAAACATCATTGGATTTCCGTGATGTCATCCGAACTGATTGATGTGAGAAGACTGACTCCATCTGTGTGTGACCACGACAAAGAGTGAAAATAACTCAAATGTATGTTGACCACGAGTAGTGGTGAGTGGGGAAAATGACAGAGATGGAGAAGGCATCAGTGTTGGGTAACACTCGGCAACAGTTTAAGCTTATTGAGGATATAGACAAGAAGAAGGCGATAGTGAGTGGAACGGTCACTGTAAAGGATGGGACACTGATAAAGTCTCAGGATAGGGGGCTAGAACGTTGGGCAGAACACTTAGAAGGACAGTTCAACTGGGCCTCAACAACGCATCAGTTGCCCAACATCTAGCCTCAACCCTAACGACCAGTGGTTGACACTTCCCATACTTCTTGACCTAAAGGCATCATTTGACTGTCGATGGTGAGGTGTTGTTACAGTGTCTGACTGTACAGAGTACGTATGTAACCCTAATCAAAAGCTGTCGACTCGGACTCACATAACCGTGTAAGGGTTTATGGAGAGTTGTCTTCAGGAATGATGGCAGTTAGTTGTGTGTGCCAGGGATGCCTACTGTCACCGCTTTGATTTAACGTCGTCCCAGATGTACTAGTTCAGGTATTTGTGACTTCACTGAAACCGATCTACTCGTTAGGGGCCATCTGATTGACTTGGAGTATGCAGACGATATTGTGCTGCCAGGTGAAGACGCTGACAAAATACAGAGTTTCCTGGATGCATTGAGTAGAAATGTGAGTATGTTTGGGTTGTGTGCTGCTGTCATCTGTCAAATGTAAGTTGGTGCACCGGGACTGGTCTGCTGCAAATGCTCCCAGTTTAATGATAGTGAGTCGGGTAATGAAATTGTCGACCACTTGACTCTATTTGGAAGTTGCATTAGTCCGAACAGGTTGGTCGCTGGCGAAATCTCAACTCAGATACACAACGCCCCATTAGCATTTCGCAACTTGTGGCACCCAATGGCGAGATATTCAACTATCTATCAAAGGACGACGATACTGCACTGCAGTCCATTCTGTCCTCTTGTATGACTGTGAGATATGATTGTTAAGTGTACAAGACACGAATCGACTATATGGTATTGGTTATAGGTGTTTTCGTAGGATTGCTCACGTTTGGTGGAATCACCGTGTGAGCAATGTTGAAGTCAGGTGTAGGGTGATAGACAAGACAGGCGAGTCGAATGATGAGGTTGTGAACCTTCATCGACTGAGATGGTTTGGACATGTACTACTTATGCCTATCTACCACCTAGCTACCTTGACGTCCCATATTACGGCAAGCTGGATTAGTTTGGAAGAGGGTTCAGGGTGGCGAGACGAAGACGTGATACCAGTCGATGAAGTTTCCAACTGTTGTTCCGAGCCATGTGGAGAGATGTAGACTTCCTCATTGGGGTCGAGGGAACGAAAAGAATCAATGGTTGAGGACTCTTGGTGACATGGCTGTAAGTCTGTGGCAGTGGTGCGGATTTATTCACTCTTAAAACATCTTCTGAAGCTTGAATATTCGCACTATGTGTTATCTTCAGATTATTTATTGTGTCAGACTACTTCGTCTACTTGGATGTCACTCTTTTTCTATCTAGCTATACTTTGTGTAGTATTCTGAACTGTGACCACTTGACGTGATGGGTGTGTGTGGGAGATTCTACGTGGATTCTGTTAGTCAACGAATCGTGAGTTTTGTTACGAACGGCTGTATGTGGTACTATCACATATTTAGCTTTCCGGTTGCTATAGTGGTAGAATTGATGTTGAAGCATTTGCGAAGCGGTGTTAGTTCAGAACCTGATGGGGAATTAGGCCCTATTGGCGAGTGCCTTTTGGCTAGGATTGATACTACCACCTCACTGGTTTCTCCACATAGGTAATGCTGAGTAAACATCTATGTTGCTAAACCTGTCATCAGTTCACATGTTTCAACGTTCGATTTTTATAGCCATATAAGGAACACAGGCAACTGATGTGCAGTATACTATCTCTTTAATAAGAAGTTCCATATTATCCTGGTGCCAGAGACTATGTAATTAGGCAAATGCTAAACTGGGTTTTCGTGTTAGAGCTGAGGTCTTGGTGGTAACTGGGTCTTTAGGAATGATGTAACTCCCAAACTGGCGGTAAGTGCAATCGACCACGTCCTTCACTATCCTTAAAAGAGGAGTTGGTGCAAATCGGACCTGAAACATTAAGTAGATAACGCTCAACAAGTTCAAAATGCCAAATGTATTCAGCTTTCTGCTCAAAGCGTTTAGAACATTGTATTTCGTCAGCGTCTTCAACTAGCATGAATATGTCTTCTGGGTATTTGCAAGGCAACCAGGTGCGTCGTAGGAGTCAGTCAATCCTCATAAATTTGGAGACACCTCGAGTTTCATCCTTTGGTACATCTACAACAAAGCTGAACTGGAAAGGTGATGGTGAACATCGACAGACATAACCGGCTGTCGTAACCTCATCCAAGTCTCCATAAGATCGAAGAGTGTCACTGGATAGCAGATCTACACAGCCACCAGGTATTCTTTTTAGTTGTCAATGAGGAACAACATAGTACAGTTAGTGTCTATTTTACGCTTGTCACTAGTTATGTGACAGTTCAGTATGTTTACTTGGTGATCTTAAACTGGAACGCAAAGGACTGAATTAAAGGAACCACCATCAGATTTTAAGCTTTAAGGGGCTCAGTAAACTAAGTGAATACATCATATGCATAATCCACTAGCACTTTTTTAAGTCAGTTAACCTTAACCATAGGGAAGAATGCTGCTGCACACTGAAGTATGAACGATAATGGACAGATAAATGAATAGATGTTTATAATTTCTGGGATCCTAGTGGTTTGCTGCTTCACATGGCCATCTCCACAAGTTAAGGGTTGACATTAAATACCGTTTATTTAGAGTAGATCAACAGTTTTAGGGGATTCATTTCGAATGTTGTGAGACGGATACCTTAAATCAGTGGTACACACAGCCTCTGGAAAGGGATAAACAGGAATGGGAACTTCAAAAATAATAAGGACATAAGTGGAACTGGAGCAAATGCAATTTAGACGTAGGGGAAAGAAGATGCAATAATTGATTACAGAGCTACCAGTTAACATTAAAATTTGAAATCTAATACTGTTCTAATACGTTACATGTCAGACTTCAAATAACAAACTAGACAATATATTGGATGTGACATGAATCTACTTTGGTGTTCGTAGAAACGAAAACGTCAGTATGGACGCCAACGAGCTGAACTTTTTTTTCCCCGAAGACACTTCATGCCTTAACCACTGGAGTAGAATTACAACCTGCAACTCATTGGTTGAATGTCGAGCATCCAAGCTGCTTAAAGTCTCATGTAGATCATTCAGCCAGAATATCTCACCCAAATATAAACATGGAAAGTCTAGTCAGCATCGTACTTCATGGAGTTTCATTGTAAATAAACAACACTCATTGGTAACCCTTTTGCCCCCTGGGTGGTATATCTAGTTTTGATGTCTACTGACAATTTGTGCTCTGTTTTTAAGTTGGTGATAATTCAAGTTTAGTAGGCTGAACGAGACTAAAGCCAGTCATGAAGAAGAGTAACATATTCGAATTTGTCACCAATGCTCGCTTTTTCATTGTTAAATTGTAAACTGACAAACAACCCTAGAGTTGGAAGGATTTATTACTTAACTAGTCCTCTGAAAACAATATTAGAAACTTGGGAACAAGATTGAACCCAAGAATACTGAGAGTTAAAAAAGTCTTAAAAGGAGGCGAACATATACACATTATTGAAAATGGTTGTAATCGGCTTCAGATATCAGTCAGAAGCCGACTATAATCATTAACACATCCCATAAAAACTTTGTCAGTGGTAAGCTTATTAGTGTAAATTGGTTGCGAAACTCTGGTCACTAGCTCAAAACGAGTGAAACGAGAGTAAAAATGCGATAAACCTTTTCAGACAGGTACGTAACTGAAAGGTTTGTCGAGAAATCACGTTAAATACATAACAGCTCAAAATATTTTTCAACTGGTACGACTATTAGTGACCTCCACGTCTTTATATTATGGTTTATGCCAGACACATTAATTATTATTGCATTATTAACCCAAATGGTCAAACAAATAGAAAACAAACCTTGAAATAAACCTACTACAATTAAGTTCAATTCGCACCAGAGATGACCTTGAAGTTAAGTCCAGTGACACGGTAAAACAAATTGTGATATAAGTTATGATAGCCTATTTCAATAAATAGTTACGAAATATAAGAATTATGTTCTAAATTTCCATATTTATATCTATGTAATGGTGGATATTGTGTGAATATTCAGCGACATCTACATTACAAATCCATTATGTTTTGTGAGAAGGAAATAGCTCTCGATCTTCGAAATTTTCAAAGGACATGTAAGGAAAGGAGACAAAATTTGCTGGAAACCTATCTGAATGAAGAAAGAGTAACTTCTATCACTCGTGTTTATATTTCACATAGGGATTAAATGAGGAATATTCTAAAAATCACAAGGAATTGCTTAAATCACACAAAAAGCAATTAAGGGTTCTCCATTCCCAAATTGAAGAAGGCAAACGAAAATTAAAGAAGAAGTTGGAGTATGAATTGGTAAGTTGATAAACATTACAATTTTTAATTCTTCGTATTTTGATGTGTTCTATAACATGGTGTTTTGCTAACTTCATTAGATAGTGTTTTTATAGGCTGCAAACTCCAACTTTTCACAAAGTGTTTTTTCTCGAAGGATATTGAAAAGATTATTTTCCAATGATATGAGACAGTTTAGTATACATGTGATCGTCGATGTCGCCTATAGAGATTTATGTTAATCATTGGTACTAGAACTAAGCTTCAAATTTTTAATGTTATAGACATGAAAAATAGAGAGCTAGGCGGAATTCTGTAAAATATACTGTGTTTAATATAAAATAGATTCACATTACTAAGTACGTATGAATAGGTGTGCGATTACACAATTCTTGATACCATACATAAAGAGCAAGCTTGTGAAATTTACGTTAAATACATGTTGCTTAAGATTTTTATCTCCATCCAGTATGATTTCTCATTGTGCTTCATTTCACGTCGATGGGAACCTCCTTTATCTTTTAGTAGGCTGCGTTGAAAATAACTGTCAGATTGATGTCGCAAACCTCTCTTATGTTCACTGAAGCTAGTACAGTCATTAAATTACAATTATTATACATGATGATATCGTTAGTTTAATGTGATCTTCTGAAAGAGAGTCATTTAGCGACCTGTTTGAAGTTTAGACTATCAAAGATACATTATATGAAATTCTTCCTTATAAGTTTGTTTTAATCTCTAAAATATATCCTGGGATTTTTGAAATGTTCATAACTAATGGTTTTTGGAATTCATAACAAAGCAAAGGAAAAATGTCATATTAAACAGAAATGGACTTTTGAATGCATAAAATTACATCATCTTTATAATCTCTGAATACTTATCTTGAATAGTATATTCTTCTATCCCTAAACACTATACGCTAATCCAACACAAACCGCTGCCTTTCATCATTATCGTTAGTAGTATTATTATGAACATCATCCAGATTCCATTAGGTCCCGACCAAGTGGCTTAATGATGACGTGTTGGCCGCAGAAACTGAAAGACTTGGGTTTGATCCCCGGCAGGGTCATGGGTGCCCACTACTGAGTTGTTCTATACATGATAACTTTGTTTGAAAATATTATTCTGGGAGTTTTCAACTAAAAATCCTAGACTGTATTAAACATATTTTCTGGGATAAAACGATCATTACTATTATTACTACTATTTCAATAGCGTAATTAGAAGACGAAGTTTATCTGAGCAATGTGATGTATTTGCGCAATACATTTCGAACAATCTAATCACACATTTACTTGTCAAGTCAGTATATATTAAACCGAGGACTGGGGGAGGGAGGGGGACAAATACAACAATTAACACAATAGGGAATTAAAATTATGAAAGATGAGAACAAACAGGAAGTGACATAGTTGATCCTAACAAAGTTTACCAAGATGAAGGTGTAGTGGAAGAACAAACTGTTTCTGTACACATAAAGGTGGTTTGAATTTGTGTATGGCTATGGCTTCCACAAATCTCAGAATACATCATTGACTGACTGTTTCTATATAGAATTTTGAAAGCTGTTTGAACACTAACTTTGTGACGTGTTTCTATGATACGTTTAGCTATAGATGAAGAGGGTCGTCTCCCACCAGCGTTTATCACTGTTTCACACTCCATTTGTTGTTGGAGCCATTTAGGCACATGTTCTCCCACCCTCAACTGCATGACTCGATTACTCCTCCCTCATGTATGTGTGACCACACACACATGTAAATTGGTAAACATAATGGGATGTGACATAATCACTGATGCAGTGTTGAGGTTTTTTGTGAAATATGTGTTTTATTTTCTCCACAATGGTAAGATTCGCCAGGTAATATGTTTTCTTAATGCGTGATGTCAGTCTACGTCTCAAAATGATACTATTCAACTCCGTCTCTGTACGAAAGAGTGATATGGACACTTTTCTTAAGGACCGTGTATAGAGTTGCCTTTAGTGCTACTTGATCTCTGTTATTAGTTTCGGAAGCCGAACAGAGGTAGGACTATATGAGATTTGAGTAGATTTGACCCATAAGGATAAGTCCAATTCACCCGCCATATGATCCATTTAATTCAATCATTGTTCATCATTAATTAATTAAATAATTGTGGACCATAGTATAATGTTCAGTTGACTGAAATGACGAAGTATGGTATCGGCTATCAATTTACAGTATCTATGTGTTTCTATATCAACACATATCTGTATTGCTTTGCTACCAAGACGTTATATAATGGTGAAAAGTCAAGTTTATGGTCTGCCAAGGTGAGGCATAGTCACATATTCGCAATTCGAAAGGATTCTTAGATGATGTAGACCGTTGATTGAAGTAACTCATGAAATTGGCTTAATGTGCAGGCTTGCTTGAACTTTAGGCTACCTCATTTTATCAAAGAATATATTACATCAAATTTTTCCTTCCTGTATTGTTTTAATCGTTCAGTTATGTCATTTAATCATATTATAAACTCTCGCGCGTTTTTAAAATTTGAATTAAATAGATTCTTGTCTGTAAATGACCAGTGGCCTCTCTCTCACATGATGTCAAGTTATTATTATTAGTCCCTTGGGTTCCTAGTGGAACATACGGCTTCAGTAGCACGTCTCCAGTGACCTCTGTTCTCTGAGATCTTTTGAACCTGGTTCCACGACAGCCCAGAAGCTCTCATTTCCTCCTCGCACGATCCCCTCCATGTCACCCTCACCACGGACGTCCAACTCGTCGCTTCCCATGGGGATTCCACTCGAGCAACTGGCCTGACGCGAGATGTCCTCAGTCGGCCTTCTCAGTGCATGGCCAATCCATCTCCACTTCCTGCTACTGCATATTTGTTGGGTGATAGGTTCTTGGTTGGTTCGTTCCCAGAGCTCCTTGTTGCTTATTCTTTCTGGCAATCTGATCTTCAGTAGCGAGCCAGCGTAGGTGGCAGTTGTTGATGAATGTCTGTAGTTTATTGGAAATCCCTTTCGTCACGCGCCAAGTCTCTGAACCATACAGAAGCACTAACTTGACTGACGTTGGTGTTGAAAATCCGTATCTTGTTCCGCATGCTGAGTGGAGTGCAGAAGATCTCCACACTGGTTTCAGGCTAATGAACACCTGTCTTGCTTTTCCGATTCTGACTTTGACGTCCTCGTCTGTGCCGCCTGTAGTTGAAACAGTGCTTCCTAGATAGGTGAAGGAGGTTACTTCCTTTAAGTTTCTCCCGTTGACGGTGATTGGAGTTTGTTGTTGGTGGTGGTGGTGGTGCGGTATCAAGTTAAACTCTTCTAAATGTCGGGTTGTTAATTTTAGTCCCAGGCGTAAATAACACGGACTTGTGTGAACTGCTTAAATCTCATGACGTCTTATGCAGCAGTACTGATGGTATTTCTGCAGAAAGTAAATCGACTGTTAACTATCTTAGATTGAGTTTTACGTCTGATCTCTGTTGATCATCTCATATCTTGTTGACTTGTAAAGAGAATTTTTCGTTTAACTTATTACATAAAGAAACTGAAGCTCTCGGGTAAAACTCAACTTCTACTTTTACAATTTATTAATTCCTGCATTTTACCTATTCTGCTTAATTATCCCTTGTTGATCTTTACTAGTCTACTGCTAAAGGAGGGCTATGTGTTATATTGTGTAGGGCTTTAAAAACCATCAGTCAGTAGTGTAAGTGGTGTGCCTCTGGTTCAAATGATTAACAGTGTAGTTGATAAACATTTAAATTCCAGCAAGAGACTAGCTACAGTCATTTTAACTGACACTTAGCATCCACTTCATCATTCACGGCTCTCTTCTTGTATCTCAGAGAGGACAAGATGAAAGTAAATCAGAGTGTACACTTTTAAAGTCAAGTACAAGAATTCAATTGCACCTATCTTATCTAGTACGTATAATATGCGAGGAAAATGGTGTTAGAACAGAACTCACTTCACAACTTTGTAATAGTCAGCAATCTCATTTCAATAGTTTAATTAACAATGTAAGATATTCTCGTTCATTGGTGACTAGCTTCGAGAGGTAATCCCGAAGTTCCAATAAGAAGTCATGACCGGTGAGAGCAAAGCCAGATGATCATGAGGATAGTTACTCAACGATAACATTCAGTGGTGGTTGTGCTATATCGTGAGCTAACAGAAGTTGAAAATATGGACCATTGGATTCTGACCCAGTGGCTCAATGGTAACGTGCTGGTCACGGAACCTGAAGGTGGCGGGATCGTGGGTGCGCACCGCTAGGGAGTCACATACTAGGGCGAAACAGCTGTTCAGTGTTCCCAGGTTTCCTTTATTCCTCCAACTGATGTCAGTCTACAACGAATAACATTACTTAAATGTTTATAATAACACACTTCGAAATGTTGTAATGAAGTATGCAAATGCACATCTATTTTGTTGTTGTTACTGCAATATATCTGGCTGGGAATTCCAAACTGTCTTAGAAAATTAGTGACGGATCGTGACTAGCAGTGGAATTCAGGATGAGCATTTCGTCCTATTTGGGACTCGTCAGCTGGATGTACCTGCTTCCCAGCCAGTGATGTTGTTCCCACCTGGATTCGGACTCCAAAGCGACAGCTACCACTGAGCCACGATAACCACTTCTTGTGCGACGGGTATAGTTTTAGTATGATTGTTTTTATATAATACCGTCGTTGCTTCGACTAAATTAGTCGGTCTCTATTGGCATATGGGCTACTGTGTGGATACCTCGATATTGCCTGCCTTCTAATTGTACTAATGAGGGTGTCATATAAAAACAATTATACTAAAACTATACCCGTCGCATAAGAAGTGGCTATCATGGCTCGGTGGTGTAGTGGATAACGCTCTGGCGTTTGAAGCGATCACTCCCAAGTCCAAATCCAGGTGGAAACAACATCACTCACTGGAAAGCAGGTACATCCAGCTGACGAGCTCTAAATAGGACGAGATGAGCATCCTGGATTCCACTGTTAGCCACGATTCGTCATTAATACAATTAGAACTCAGGCAA